TAAATACACTTATTCCAGTCTTTAGAAATATTTATTTCCTCAGTTTTCTCTAGGATTCTCGTACAGGGTACAGCCCTCTATAAAATGTGTAACTGTCTCCACTTCTCCACAATTACACAGATTTGTGTTTTTAGCCCAAATCTTGTTCAAATAATCATTGAGACAATATCCACTTTGTAGTTGCATTAACTGTGTTTGGTTTTTCAAGCCATTGAAGTTAATTTTTTTCTTAAGACAGTACATGTGACGTTAAGACATGACTTAAAAATATTTACGAATCAGACTGAGATGACTTTGAAAGCAGACAGACATGCAATTGTGACCGGGTTCAGACTGTCCCTAACAATTGGTAGATGGCAACGACAATTGGTTGATATGCATATTATGCTATCCCATTCATTCATTTCGATGATTTTACTTTGCGTGCATGTACCACCTACTTACAATTTTTATGCGTGCATCTAGAATTTTGTGTGTGAATCACGCACTGTAGTGTGTGAATCAAGCACGGTAGTGCGTGAATTGGGATGCTGGTAGTTGCTGAGAAAATTGTTACGAAAAATTCCTACCATTGACCATTATTATGACTTTAACTAAGTCAATAAACATGAAGTGGATGAGCGACAGACCTGAAATCGAATCCCATGGTATGGAAAACGTGTTAATGCTGTATACTAAATATCATGAGGTTCTGATAAGTAGTAGCTGAGAAAACTGTTACGAAAAATGGCCCAACCAATTTGCCTGCCTGCCCGGAAACAAGTCTTAATACATGATGGTAAACAGTATTTTTTTTCATAAATATATTTTTTTCGAAAACCTGTATTATAGTTGTAACAGTTATCCCATTAGTGTTTGAATATTAAAATATTTTTTGATAGTGTTTACTCAGGGGTATCATGTTGGGGGCAAGAGTTAACCCCTTCAAGCATCTGTGGTTTATCATATAAGAACACCCCTTTCTACAAAAACTTCTTTCTTTCTGTTCACAAGAGTGGCTCTATACACAGGTTTAATTGTAAAATTAAATCTTGTAAAATGTTATAAAAAACAACAACAAACAGCAGGGATCTCAGGAAGGTCAGAATTTCACGTGGCAAACTGTTTGGCCAAAATTTTCACGAGTCAAATCAGTTTTTAGTCCCCTACCGGTTTTCTTGTGTTATTTTTCTACATGAATCATTCTCATGTTTCAAAAAATACTGTTTTGGAAGTCATTTTGAGAAGATTTTCAAGTTTAACAGGTCTAGTTTATCGCCAGATTAGTGCATGATGCACAAATTGGTACATAATACACAAATCGATGTATTCAATCATACACTGATCGGTGAATAAAAATGTTGATAAATGCACTTCTGTAAATAATTTGTTGTTTATTTATAATCATGTTTTGGCACCTGCACATAACATTGGTAATAGCCTATTTTATTGACAAAGAATAACACAACTTCTGATCTAAATGAACTTCAGGAGATTTTAATGTTTTCATCCACTGAAAAATTGTAACTTTCAGACATGGATTCATTTCCATAGTTCATATTTAGTTATTATTCTGATCAGGTATACATAGTTTTAAAATTGTCTCTTGACTGGAAAGTAAAAAAATAAATAACCACTTCCAATTTTGGGATGCACCAATTAGTGTATCATGCAGATTTTCAAAAAAGTACAAGAATTGCCAGTGTTTACATCTTTATCTTAAGTTTCAGGATATTTCTATGGATATTATCTATAGTAAGTGCTGGTGCCACAATTCACTTTGCTATATTTACAAAATAATGGGTCTTCAAAGATTTGAATGATAGCCTGGTACACCAATTGGTGCATCATAAAATACATCAGTTGGTGCATCATACACATACTGGTGCATCATGCACTAATCTGGCGATATACTAGACCTGTTTAAATTGATAATATTGTGAGGTAAGGTAATTTTTTAAATTACGTAAGCTTTTTGCTTAGTTAACAATATGATAAGATAATTAAGTATTACTAGCACCATGGATAATTGCCATAATTATTGTTCCATTTTCATTTACATTTATTGAGGTCAATAACACATGTGTACATGTTTAATTTTAGAAGTCATAGCACGGGAGGTGATATTTGCATAAATACTAAATGTCATGCCTTAATACTTTACAAAATACCTGTTTCAACGAAGCACACCGATAACTGTGTTCATTTTCACTTCTTAATTATGAAATACGAGTTTATGTTAAAGAAATTCTCAATTTTCTTGTCCATGGCATCGATTTTGTCATACTTCCGGTTTAGTTCTATTTATAATCTCAATCCGAAGTCACATTGATACACATGTTTTCTGAGGCAAATTTGTTGAATTGGACTGATTGATATGCATTGTTCAATGCTTTATGTTTGTTCTCAGAATGAAATATTATGACATAACTAGTCCATCAGTAAGACCGGCGTACACTATGTTGAAATATGTGATTATTCCCGCAAACCGGAAGGATGTATTTTAAGAAATATCTGTACTGTATAAACTATACTATATGAACTTTTATCCTTATCGTCTAATTTTTGTGAAAAAGTGCAACATTTTTTGTTCACTTTCGTTTCTTTGTGCAATATCTTACACAATAAAATGTGCAAGTCATTGTCAAGAACCGAAATATTTTACATTGTATTTTGGAAATGACACAGTCTCCTTTCTGATGGTGGTACGAAATTAATGGAAGAATCCATTACTGAATGGGGAAATCAAATTCACTGTAAATCTCAAATCTGTGCTATTCTGATTGACTCTGTTTTGAATAAACATTGATTTCGCATTCATAACCTTTTCATTTATCTAATGCTTTAAACAGAAAAGTTTTCATAATAATGTCTGCTGAGACAAAAAATACAATAGACACTACCTCAATTTATCCCTACAAAGAAAGTCTATATAATCTTGCAATAAAAAAACACTTTTAATCCCCAAAACAGATACCAATTTTCATCTCTAGACCATAATTTGAATACACTTTGTAGAAACTTAGAAGCTAATGCCTTGTGAGAAATATATTAGCTCTAGCCCTTTCCACTTTGAAGTATAAGAACTTTTTTTTTCTTTTAGTTGCCATAGCAACCAGAGTTTTTCATGAAATGGCATTCTTTGAACACTCTTGATAGAGCTTTATACAAAGAGGATTCCTGCCAAGTTTCATTAATATTGGCCAAGTGGTATTATAGAAGATGTCGTTTGAATATAAAATGTGGACGGACGCCAGACGACGGACGCATTTGATTGGCCATCCTATAAGCTCACCTGCACTTTGTGCAAGGTGAGCTAAAAACAACAACATTTACATGATAAATTACTGTCCCATCCCAACTCACAAAAAATCATAGGCCATATCCAGCTGAACATTGTGTTCAGCTCTAAGCTTGCAAATAAGGAAACTTACCAAATTGGGGTCCAAAACGTTATCCATTAATCCATTTAACATTGAAGTAAAACATGTCAGAGACGTGACTTAAGGTGATTCCGCTTTGTCAGCCATGTTTGTTTTCACCAAGTCTGTCCAAAGTGAAAGTAGGCTAAAATTCATAAAACAACAAAGCTCTTATTGTAAAATGATTAACCATTTGAAAGTACACTTCCAGGTTTATATTTTAAGGGCAATTTTAAACAAAAATAAAAATGATAACAATAAGAATATTTACCTTGAATGTGCTACATTTCTGAAGACCAAAAACATTCTGTTGCAAAGTTTTATGCACATTTCATGAATGGCAAAATCCTTTCTAAATTCTGTTTTAGTGCCTACAAAAGTTTTTTTTTTTTTTGCAGCAAATACAAAAATCTTTCAAAACTTAACTCCAAATAAATCAGTATCTCATGTTCTTCTAAGCACATGGCCTCCATTATTTTTTTGTAAAAAGGTAGTGCAAGAAAACAATCATCATTTATAGCCTTATGAACTACAATTCAAATGAAAACACAATCAAATTTTAAAATCTAACCTTTTTTATGTGTTTGTCATGTACACAAGAAATAGGTAAATGATGTTTATTTTCATGGTACTACTTTTTTACACGTGTCATGGTGGCCATGTTGTTTCAAGGTCAAATAAACTACTTTCCTAAGATTTATGTTTTTAAAGTTTTTTGTATTTTCTGCAAAAAAAAAAAATTTGTAGGCACTAAAACAGACTTTAAAAAGGATTTTGCCATTCATGAAATGTGCATAAAACTTTGCAACAGAATGTTTTTGGTCTTCAGAAATTTAGCCCATTCAAGGTAAATTTTCTTATTGTTATCATTTTTATTTTTGTTTAAAATAGTCTTTAAAACATAAAACCGGAAGTGTAGTTGCAAATGGCTCTTTATATAACTATGTGAGCTTTGTTGTTATATGAATTTTAGCCTACTTTCACTTTGGACAGACTTTGTGAAAACAAACATGGCTGACAAAGCGGAATCACCTTAATTAATCTCACTCATGAAGGCAGGCATTTTAACACTGTTTATCATGAATAAAAGTGAAATATGTCCGATTGCAATAAGTGCACGAAAATTCCATGCGAATACAATTTTACCTACACCTTTCACTGCCCTTAGCTTAAAGGCCATGCAAATATTTTCTATAGTTTTATATTTTCAACGTGAACATACATTTAAAGTCAGTTAGATTTATTTATAATTAAATGCGTGATTAATTAATCTGTTCTTTAAACTTGAACGTCTTATAAGTCGGATACAATTACTCGTAATTTGTTCGAAAGACGTAAAGAAGACAGTTTTCTAGGACAATCAATAATTTATCCTCGGCTTCGCCTTGGACAATTTGCTGTTTATCTTCTAACGTCTGTAAGAAGACACTTTAGAAGAAAAACTCGTACTGTATCCATTACTTATTTTTTATTATTTATTTATTTATTTATTTGTTTATTTTTATTTATTTATTTATTTTTTGTCTTACTAGTTTTGTCTCCCTAAGTTTGCTTATTTCATTTCTTTCATAAAAAATGACAAAAGAAAATTCTTACTACCTTAGCAAAGACAGCAAAAGCAGCAAATATGACTACACAAAAGACAAAAGAATCACGAAGAACAGCAGCAAAAGTTTCGTTCACAGCTAGCTCGTCAGGTTAATATGAAAATAAAAAAATCCCACCATTAAGGCGATTCAAGATATTACATGTATATATAAATGTTTTAATAAAGTGTCATCAAACCATGACCAAAATCGAACTTGACCAATGCATTCTTATGACATATCCATATCTTTAATTTGTTGTTGAATATGTACAACTGATGGGGAGATAATAAATGTGAACTGAAAATTTCCATATTTTTTTAATTTAAACGGGAATAATTCTGCCAAAAGTCATCAAACCATATCATATTATTTTCAAAGTGAAAGGGGCATTACTCTACCAAAAATCATTGAACCATGACCCAATTCAAACTTGGCCTGCGCATTTTTTAACGTATCCATATGTAAAATTTGAGTTGAACGTGTAACACTGTTTGGGAGATAATGAACAGAAACTGAAAATTTCATATTGTTTTCAAAGTGAAAGGGGCATAACTCTGCCAAAAATCATCGAACCATGACCAAATTCGAATTTGACCTGTGCATTCCCTTGACATATCCATATGTCAAGTTTGAGTTGAATGTGTAATACCGTTGGGGAGATAATGAACGAAAAATGAAAATTTCATATTATTTTCAAAGTAAAAGGGGCATAACTCTGCCAAAAATCATCAAACCATGACCAAATTCGAACTTGACCTTCACATTCCTTTGACATATCAATATGTCAAGTTTGAGTTGAATGTGTAATAAAGTTGAGGAGATAATGAACTGAAACTGAAAATTTCATATTATTTTCAAAGTAAAAGGGGAAAAACTCTGCCAGAAATCATAGAACCATGACCGAATTCAAATTTGACCTGTAGTTTCTCATGACATATCCATTTGTTAAGTTTGAGTTGAATTTGTTATACCATTGGGGAGATAAAGAACGGAAACTGAAAAATTTTACATTAATTTCAAAGTAAAAGGGGCATAACTCTGCCAAAAATCATCGAACCATGACCAAATTTGAACTTGACCTGTATTTTCTCATGACATATGCATTTATCAAGTTTGAGTTGAATGTGTGCAACCGTTACTAAGATAATGAACGGAAACTGATGATGACGGAATGACAGAATGACGGAAGGACGGAATGACGGAACAGCGTAACATTATATGCCCCAGCCATTATATGTCGGGGACATAACAAGAAAATATATAATGAATAAACTTTATCTGAACAAAAGTAATGTAACAAAAAGTCTTTCGAAATTTTTTTTGATATTTATATGTAAACCTTTACCAAGCAAGGTATTATGGGTTTTATACTTTTCCTCCAGCAGAGCTATTCATAAAGTGTATTGTTACGTTTGTAAGAAGACACTTTTAAGTAACCGTTAGTTTACATGTGGATTAAATACAGTTTAAATATACGGTTTTCTGTTTGGGCCAGTTGAAGGTCAACTATTGACATGCTATTTTTTTCTAAAGTCTTACCCCTCTTTCTGTATTTTCATAGAAAAAGTGGCAATATTTTACATTCTCGCAAGAAACATTTCGCGCTAAACAACGTTGAACTTGTCTCATGCTAATACGTTCTCATTCTTTAATCTTGGTGCGAATCAAAATATAAAGATCTTCGCGCTGATTAAAGCAGCACGCCTCCAGATGCATGCTAATTTTCATGAAAATTTTGAAAATGTATTTGAATGTTTAATATATAGGCAGCAATTTACACATTATAAATGGCACTTACAGTCCAAGTAAATTACCAAAAAGTGGTCAAATTATGCATAAATATAGCTTACTGCGTTAGTAACGCAATAGAAATATAGTTGTGAATACTGAAAAGTCAGTCCTTAAATGCACATAACTTGTAAAACATGCATTACTTGAATATTGTATCATTTTACTTTTCCTTAAATCATAGTACACATTTCTGATGTTTGATTTTATTGAAATATTTTGACTCGTCTTGGGGCAAGAAGCTTTAACCTTAGTTTTCGCATGTTCCTTTCGAGAACTTTAACTTATTACCAGTGTCAATAATGAAAAGTCTTCAAACAATAATGTTAAATCTCCCTAACTTATCTATTAACAAGAGCCAGTGCGTTTGACTTGTCTCAGTGCTTGATAGTAAAACAAGAGGCTGAATAATGTAGAATTTTTTATCTTCAAAAATTGCCGTAGTTATGTCAAAATTCACAATTACAATATCTCTCCCTATTTTGTGAGTAGTCGAGCCAAAACAAGAGATTTAGTCAATTTTAAATCATAACTGATTAAAATCATTACATCAGATAACATCACTTTTGTTAGTTGTCAAAATATTTATGGTCTGAATTTGTTTATGGATCATCTTGGGGACTTTATTGGTCATGCCTAACTGATTTGATACTCCAAAATGACTACCAACTGGCACAGTCAATTATACGTAAAATTATAATTCAGTATATATCGAATTTCTGTGTACGTGTTTTTAGTGATTAAAACAAAAATTGATAAACAGCGTTTGAATTAAATAAAATGATTCAGTGGAAATATCACTTTACCAGCTTTAATATATAGAGATTGCATTTTAACACGACGCAAATAGTATACAGTCATGTACATTCGAAAGAATCTTTACTTTTTATGCCAGAACACGTTTTGAAATTACATAGATTTATATTATTGTTTTTCTTTGTCTTAGTAATAATTTTATCAAAATGATTTTAATCATACAGTATCTTGCAATTAATAAATAGGGCAATTTAACTGCCTGGTAAAACACAGTGCGACAATTTCCATTATTTAGAATCAAACGAAAATGGTAACCGTGACCAGTTACCAAGCCATATGGTCTAGTATTAAAACAAATCGTTATCCTTATTATAGTAAACATTCTTATTCATTTAACCATCCTTTTTTGTAATATCTTATTCAATTACACACAATTTTGGCAATTTCAATCTGCCAATCTTACAAGAAAGGTTTAAGATCTTTATATTCATCTATTTATGTACTTAATCGTATCGACAATGTCCTATGTATCCCCCAAGGGGGACAACTTGAATCCGGTGGTCTTAAATGAAAGGGTCTATAGCACCAACCACATTATGAGGTAGGGTATAATGCAAAAATTTAATAATATAATTAAGTCATTGATACTGTAAGATCCGGAATACTAAATCATTATATAAATTTCTAAAATAATAAAGTAACGTTGATCTTCAGCTATTGTTTTTTATATGAATGGCAATATCATACACTTGTATGTACACCATCAAAACAAATATTTACCTTTCTGGGTTTCCTCATACTCTTCCGGAGTTAGACCTGAGGTTTCTGTCTTTATTTTTGCCACCTCCTGCAAAAACAACCCATCTTCTTTACTCCTAAAATACTTTTTAGTTCAAAACTTAAATCAACAAGATGTTATTAAGATATGTTATTAATACGCAAAGGTATGTACAGAATTGTGTACATATTTTTTATTTCATTTTTATATTTTAGCACAATAACAATCATGATCGCCCTATTTAATCACTCGCCCAAAATTCCTTGTAAGAATATGTTCTGCATTTTAGGAGTAGGTCATCGGGTCACATTTTATATTCTCAAATAAAAAAATGTTTCTAAGCAGTACAAATTTAAAGCTAAACTTACCATCATGATTATCAAGGCTCATAGTTCTATACCTTATCTTATATCAAAATCTGTCCCTGGACAACAAACTCAACATTTCTCAGTGCTGAATTGTGAAAACTAACAATGATTGAAGAAAATCCTTCAACGGGTTAGGTCAAACCCTAACATAACAAACAAGATATATTATAATATTTAGCCTTTACATGTAACCTTCACAATGAACCAGCTTCGCTAACATTCACCTTTAAGTGTGACCTTCACCATGAACAAGCATAGCTAACATTTCACCTTTAAGTGTGATCTTTATTATGAGCAAGCAAATCTTACATTTAAACAGCATAGCTTATATTTAACCTTTAAGAGTGACCTTCACCATGAACAAGAATAGCTAAAAGTAACCTTTAAGTGGTATCTTCATTATGGGCAAGCATATCTAACATTTAACCTATAAGTGGTATCTTTACCATGGGCAAGCATAGCTATAATTTAGCCTTGAAGTGTTACCTTAACAATAAGCAAGCATTGCTTACATTTAACATCTAAGTGTGGTATATATTGTACAATAGATTTTAGTCTTTAAGCAAGAGTTCCTGTATGTGCCATGTGTTTTTATAATAAGGAAATTTACGGAAACTTTTTTCAAACAGGCATTTTGTAATTTTTTTAATTTTTTTTTTTTCAAAATTCAAACAAATATTTTTTGCAACGAAAATACACTTCAGACCCATTGTATGTACATGCGGTGAACCTGGTTGCTTTTCCTAGTTAAATAGCCACAGTACTAATACTTTTGCCACAAGAACTCAAATCATAAAATTGATTCTTCAAAATTAAAATACTATCTTTTTCTTCTTTAATGTAACATACAGGTGTAAGTTAGTAACATACATCATTTAGTTAACAAGGAGAAAGTAATTTGTTTTACCTCTCTCTGTTCTGAAAAACGAGTCTCCAAGTCTCCGAGTTTCTTTTTCAATTCTGCATTCTCAAGATTTTCATCATTTACTTTGGACATATTAAATTCAAGTTCTAATAGCTTCTTTTTCAGATCATCATACTCCTCTTTAGTTGCAGCATTTTCTGTCGATTTCAGAACTTTTGCCATTTCTTCTTTGATTTGTCTCAGAATCTCTTCAAAGCTTTCAGTCGTAATAATAAAATCTTTGTTCTTCAGCTGATAAAAAGAAATCAGTATTGTCGTATTTTCTTTCATAAACTAGAAATGTGTCAATAGGACACGGGTGCCCCCACCGCGCCACTTTTCTGTCAATCTTATAACTCTAGGTCAAATAGTTTTTGAAAACTAAAAATCTTTTACTAAGTAAAGGGCAAGAACTTTACAAATACTAAATAAATCCACAAGCAAACCCCAAGGTGCATAAGTACACACGCTGACCAACTTCCAGGCCTACAAGTTAACCACTTTTTGAGCTATGCATGAACAAGTTGAAAATTGCAAATTTATACTACTATAAGTCAAGGGCAATAACTCTAACAAAACTAAAACAATCCACATGCAAAGTCCCAGGTGCATAGCTTCACAGTGATATGAATCATTATTCCTGTAATTAATTGATGTTGATCATTATTCCTGTAAAGTTTGTTGATTCTAACTCAAGCACTCAACGAACAAGTAACAACATAATGAAATGGTTTTTACTAAGTCAAGGGAAATAACTCTACAAATACTGAATAAATCCACAAGCAAAACCCCAGGTGCAAAGCTAAATATGCTGAGCAATCTTCCCGTAAGGTTTAATGACTCTATGTCAAATCCATTAGTTACATGCGACACAAGTTGAAAATTGCAAAAATTTTCTAAGTCAAGGGCAATAACTCTAAAAATACTAAATGAATCCAGACAAAAATACCCCAGGTGCACAACTACACATGCTGATCAATATTCCTGTAAAGTTTCATGACTCTAGGTTAAATCCTTTTTGCGTTACATGCGACACAAGTTGAAAATTGCAAAATTTTACTAAGTCAAGGGAAATGACTCTAAAAATACTAAATATATCCACACGAAAATATCCAAGTGCACAACCACACATGCTGATCAACATTCCTGTAAAATTTCATGACTCTAGGTCAAATACTTTTTGAGTTACATGCGACACAAGTTGAAAATTGCAAAATTTTACTAAGTCAAGGGCAAAAACTCTAAAAATACTAAAAATATCCAGACACATATACCCAGGTGCACAACTACACATGCTGATCAACATTCCTGTAAAGTTTCATGACTCCAGGTTAAATACTTTTTGATTTACATGCGACACAAGTTGAAAATTGCAAAATTTTACTAAGTCAAGGGCAATAACTCTAAAAATACTAAATATATCCAGACGAAAATACCCAGGTGCACAACTACACATGCTGATCAACATTCCTGTAAAGTTTCATCAAATACTTTTTGAGTTACGTGCGAAACAAAAGAGAACGGACGGACGGAAGAACGGAAGGACGGAAGGCAGCCGGACGGACAAACGTAAATCTAAATGCCCGCCACTAAAGAGGGGGCACAAAAATGTGGGTATGTAATTTATAATATTTACTCTTCTATACAACATATTAAATAATTATAAGGTCACCTTTTTCAAATTAATGACTAGTCGGCTCTTCAAAAGAATATGTCAATCTTTGATGTTTACACATGTGAAGTTGTTGCCGAATCATCAAAGAAGTGCCGACACTCGATTGACTTCCACCCTTTTTTATATATCATTTATTTTTGTCAAGAAACGATTACACATGTTTAATCATTGCTCAAAAGTGAAAAAAAAATGTTGGATATTTTTATGGTGTCAATTATTGACATAATATTATTATTAATCGTACGTGCAATTTCATTGTGATTATTTCATTTACATTTTTTAAGCAAATTGTACTTCAACACTACCAATTTTTATACATATACATAATAACTGCGAATTCACTTATATTCGTGGGCATGAAATTTCGTGGTTTTATCAAAACGGGCCTTTTCGTTGGTTCTTAAATTCGTGGATTTTCATTTTCTTGTACAAAAAAAACACTAATGAAAAGTAATCTTACAATTAATCGCCGCGTATTTTTACTTAACGCATGAACATATCTTTACGTATCACACATAATCTAATCCTTGCCTCTAGGCATAACATAACGATGGCAGTTACTGCCGATAATTGACTGCAATTAACACATTTAGATGACATAATTTGCAGCCCCATTGTACACATAACATAAATTTAATTTAACATAAAATTGTAAACATACAATTTATAATCAAATCAGATTATGTATAGTGTAAAGTGTTACAAGTTACAATTAGTCGAGAAGTATTGCTAACGAGTATGAACAAATGTTATGATATATATAACAGAGTTTTGATGACAAATATAAACAAAGGTTACAGCATAATTGCATAAAAAAATACTATACATGTACACAGTAGAACGAGATTTGTTCACGTGCCGAGAATTATTGGTGACAAGTTTAAACAGAGAGTTGGCATAAATGCACTGAAATATGTAAGAAACTAAGTAGAAAGATATTTGTTAACGTTATATTATATCGATATCCATATATCAAACGGCAATTATAATATTTCTAAGATGACATAACCGTTGTATATGTACTAATCATTTATTGTCGTAGTTATCTCCCATTTACCAGTAATCATAAGGAAAAGAATATTATCGGATATTAAAATCTAAATTTATGTCCTTTCTTTAAATGCGTAGTAAAGATAACTTGCCAGATTATCAATTGTTTTGATGTTTGTGCTTGTCATTAGTGTTTCGACTTTCTGCATTGAAGGCCATCTACAAAAATATGGTTTAAAAACTATCTATGTAAATTGTAATATTTCGGGCATATTAGTAAGAAATGATATTCTGTCTCTACTAAATTTTATGGACAATTTCGACATTTTCTGTTTCCCTTGGAATATAATCGTGCCTTCCTTTTTCTATTTCGAGATTATGAGCTGATAGTCTAAATTTGGTTAAAATAATCCTATGGCTATCTTTGTATATAACGCTTTAATACTTTTCGCACTGAAATTCGTGTTTATAATGACTGTAAGACGAAAGTCTGTTAGAATTATTAATGCTTGAATACCAGTAGATATCTAAAAAAATTTGTTTCATGACACATGCATTTATATTTAATTTATCTTGTTGTAGCCAAACGTAAGACATTCCTATTTGGTTCAGTATAGTTTTTATTTGATAAGCCCAGTTGATAGCTAATTATCTGCATCTTTTTTTAACATGTTAATTGAGTTATCAGGTGACTTAAGTATTTTAATCCAGTATTTAAACATTATGATTTTACGGTATATTGCCATTGGATATCTCCCTATTTCTCCATATAATACATCTAGATTTGTTGATTTACGGACAAAAAGGATCTTTCGAATAAATTATTTACAATGTACAAGTTCTATATTTTTACAATCATAGTAGCGAAACACTTCTGCGCTCTGATTTAAGACGGATCCAACTAATGTATCAAACATTTTACATTTATCTTGAATCTTTAGATCAAGTTGGTTAAATACTGTAAAAATGTTATGCATAGAAAATGATGAATGTTGAGCAAGATGCTTTTGTGTCCGATTCCAATGTCCATTTTTAAAGAAATAAACGCCTAAATATTTAAAGCTTTTAACGATTTCTAAGGTCTGACTGTTGAAAATGAAGTCAAACGTTGAATGTCTACCTTGTTCAAATATCATTATTTTAGTTTTAGATGTGTTAACTTTTAGATTCCATGTTTGGCAGTATAAATTCAAATCATTTAACATTGATTGTAATGCATTGGGTGTATTGGCAAAAAGAGCTGTATCATCAGCAAAAAGTAGCATAAATAATTTTAATTCATGTACGGTGAAAATTCCATCAATGTCACAGTTAATGTTATGAATTATGTCATTTACGAAAAATAAAAATAAAAGACTTGAACTTGGGTCATCTTGTTTTGCACCTATGTTTGAGATGAAGTTTGGTGATATCTCTTTTTTTAAGCCTTACCGCTGATTTTACGCTGCTGTACATGCTTACAGTTGCTTTTACAAATTTTGAACTTACATTTTCCTGGATAAGTTTTTGAAAGATAAACGAACGTTGTAATTTATCAAAGCATTTTTCAAAGTCTACAAAGGCTACGTATAATTCATTTTTATCAGAAAAGTTTTTACTATTATTGTGTGAAGTATAAATATGCAATCTGTAGTTGATTTTCCTTTTTGGAATCCGTATTGATTATCTATTATAGTTTTATGTTTTATAGTCCATGATGTTAGGCGATTAAGTAATACCTGTGAATATATTTTAGCAATAATGTTTATCAAAGTTATACCCCTATAATTTTTGGCATCTTCCAGGTCACCACCCTTATGTATAGGAACAATAATTCCTGATCCCCACTCACTGGGATATTCTCCGGTATGAAATATCCTGTTAAAAGGTCTTAGAATAAAATCAGATGATTCATTAAAAGAGATTTTATATATTTCCGATATAAGTGTATCTATTCCACTACTTTTATTATTGTTTTGTGAAAATACTGCTTTATGTAATTCTGACATACTAATTTCTTTATCTAAATCTTCATCTATAATGTTTTGATAATAAGATGTATTTCCAGTTGTTGTCTCTGTGCTATACAGTGTTTTAAAATGCTCATATAGATCTTGTGTTGTCAAAGTTTCAGCCCTTCTTGTATTTTTAGTGTACTGACTTCTAATCTTATTCAAGAATTTACGTGGTTGAGATTTACTCATTTCATTTAAGTTTTGCCTCTCATTAAAGTTATATTTTTTCTTTTGGGGTTTTTTAATTTTGTTATAATTATTGTTATAGTTTATATATAGATTACGAAGGTTATCATTGTCTTTATTTTTACAAAAGCATTTCTTCCTTTTTTGAATTCAACTCTAGCAGTATAACAGTCAGCATTGAACCATGGTGTTTTCTTAAATACTTTATTTATAGATACAGT